AATATTACTCTAAGGTTCTGGAGTTTCTTGAAAACAAGCTGGTGCCTGAGTGACCAGAAGGAAACAAGTGCTCCTGCCAGACGTGGAGTTTGAGGCTTGGCACAAGAGTTTGCCATTGTGTTTTGGGGAGCTAGGTCTGTGCAGGGGGCTGCCGCCTCTCATTTAGATACTGGGGCTGTCTGCCCATCTCCACCAAATAGGACTCTGTTCACAAACAGAGTGTGTCTTTACACTTTTGAAGGAGAAGAGTCAAGCTGCACTAATACTTAGTAAAGGGACAGGTAATGGCACCTTTGACCCTTCAGTGGGCAGGGTGCGGGTGTGGGGGTTGATGTAAGGCAAGGCAGGACAGGCGGTCAAGGAAGACGTGCCTTTGCCTTTCCACGTAGAGTACCGCTTCACAGCTTCAGTGTCTAGCTAAGGGGGCTAAGAGTGGTCTAGTATACAAAAACAAAACAAGAACAAACCCAAACACAACTGACACAGCCCCTGGCCACCCATACATGAGTTCTCTGGGTAATCCTGGTTGTCCTGGAACATACTCTGTAAAGCAACCTGGCTTTGAACTCAGAGACCTACCTCTTTTGCCTTCCAAATACTGACATTGAGCATGTGGAGAGACGGCTCACAGGTTGAGAGCACTGGGCTGCTCTTCCAGAGGTCTTGAGTTCAATTCCCAGAAACCACACGGTGGCTCACTTCTGATATGCAGGCATACGTGCAGACTGTGTGCATAATAAAAAAATAAATCTTAAAAAAAGGTGTGTGCCACCATACCTATCACAGGGTAGAATTTCTCACAGGGTAGAATTTCTCACAGGCTGAGAGCCACACACAGTAATTAAAAACAAAACAAGGCCAGTGAGATGGCTCAGCGATTGGAAGTCCTTCCCACCAAGGCTGACAACCTGCATCCCGTCGAAGGCACTCACATGGTAGGAGGACAGAGCTGACCCCCACAAGTTTTCTCTCACTGCTACACCTGCTTCGCCGAGCCTGAGTGTGTGTGTGTGCGCGCACGTGTGTGTGTGTGTGAGAGAGAGAGAGAGACTGCTGAGTGTGAGTGTGAGAGAGAGAGACTGCTGAGTGTGAGAGAGAGAGACTGCTGAGTGTGAGTGTGAGAGAGAGACTGCTGAGTGTGAGAGAGAGAGACTGCTGAGTGTGAGTGTGTGAGAGACTGCTGAGTGTGTGTGAGAGAGAGACTGAGTGTGTGAGAGACTGCTGAGTGTGTGAGAGACTGCTGAGTGTGAGTGTTTGAGAGAGAGAGACTGCTGAGTGTGAGTGTGTGAGAGACTGCTGAGTATGTGTGAGAGAGACTGCTGAGTGTGAGAGAGACTGCTGAGTGTGTGAGAGAGAGACTGCTGAGTGTGTGAGAGAGAGACTGCTGAGTGTGAGTGTGTGAGAGAGACTGCTGAGTGTGAGAGAGAGACTGCTGAGTGTGAGAGAGAGACTGCTGAGTGTTTGAGAGAGAGACTGCTGAGTGTGAGAGAGAGACTGCTGAGTGTGTGAGAGAGACTGCTGAGTGTGAGTGTTTGAGAGAGAGAGACTGCTGAGTGTGAGTGTGTGAGAGAGACTGCTGAGTGTGAGTGTGTGAGAGAGACTGCTGAGTGTGAGTGTGTGAGAGAGACTGCTGAGTGTGAGTGTTTGAGAGAGAGAGACTGCTGAGTGTGAGTGTGTGAGAGAGACTGCTGAGTGTGAGTGTGTGAGAGAGACTGCTGAGTGTGAGAGAGAGAGACTGCTGAGTGTGTGAGAGAGACTGCTGAGTGTGAGTGTTTGAGAGAGAGACTGCTGAGTGTGAGTGTTTGAGAGAGAGACTGCTGAGTGTGAGAGAGAGAGACTGCTGAGTGTGTGAGAGAGACTGCTGAGTGTGAGTGTTTGAGAGAGAGAGACTGCTGAGTGTGAGTGTGTGAGAGAGAGACTGCTGAGTGTGTGAGAGAGAGACTGCTGAGTGTGAGTGTTTGAGAGAGAGACTGCTGAGTGTGAGTGTTTGAGAGAGAGACTGCTGAGTGTGAGTGTTTGAGAGAGAGACTGCTGAGTGTGAGAGAGAGAGACTGCTGAGTGTGTGAGAGACTGCTGAGTGTGTGTGAGAGAGACTGCTGAGTGTGAGTGTGTGAGAGAGAGACTGCTGAGTGTGTGAGAGAGAGACTGCTGAGTGTGAGTGTGAGAGAGACTGCTGAGTGTGAGTGTGAGAGAGACTGCTGAGTGTGTGAGAGAGAGAGACTGAGTGTGAGAGAGAGAGACTGCTGAGTGTGAGTGTTTGAGAGAGAGACTGCTGAGTGTGAGTGTTTGAGAGAGAGAGACTGCTGAGTGTGAGTGTGTGAGAGACTGCTGAGTGTGTGTGAGAGAAAGACTGAGTGTGAGAGAGACTGCTGAGTGTGTGAGAGAGACTGCTGAGTGTGTGAGAGACTGCTGAGTGTGAGCGTTTGAGAGAGAGACTGCTGAGTGTGAGTGTGTGAGAGAGACTGCTGATTGTGAGAGAGACTGCTGAGTGTGTGAGAGAGAGACTGCTGAGTGTGAGTGTGTGAGAGACTGCTGAGTGTGTGTGAGAGAGAGACTGAGTGTGAGAGAGACTGCTGAGTGTGTGAGAGACTGCTGAGTGTGAGCGTTTGAGAGAGAGACTGCTGAGTGTGAGTGTGTGAGAGAGACTGCTGAGTGTGAGAGAGACTGCTGAGTGTGTGAGAGAGAGACTGCTGAGTGTAAGTGTGTGAGAGACTGCTGAGTGTGAGTGTGTGAGAGAGAGACTGAGTGTGAGAGAGACTGCTGAGTGTGTGAGAGAGAGACTGCTGAGTGTGTGAGAGACTGCTGAGTGTGTGAGACTGCTGAGTGTGTGAGAGAGACTGCTGAGTGTGTGAGAGACTGCTGAGTGTGTGTGAGAGAGAGACTGAGTGTGTGTGAGAGACTGCTGAGTGTGAGTGTTTGAGAGAGACTGCTGAGTGTTTGAGAGAGAGAGACTGCTGAGTGTGAGTGTGTGAGAGAGACTGCTGAGTGTTTGAGAGACTGCTGAGTGTGAGAGAGACTGCTGAGTGTGTGAGAGAGAGACTGCTGAGTGTGAGTGTGTGAGAGAGAGACTGCTGAGTGTGTGAGAGAGAGACTGCTGAGTGTGAGAGAGAGAGACTGCTGAGTGTGAGTGTGAGAGAGAGACTGCTGAGTGTGTGAGAGACTGCTGAGTGTGTGAGAGAGAGACTGCTGAGTGTGAGAGAGACTGCTGAGTGTGTAGAGAGAGACTGCTGAGTGTGTGAGAGACTGCTGAGTGTGAGTGTGAGAGAGACTGCTGAGTGTGTGAGAGACTGCTGAGTGTGTGTGAGAGAGACTGCTGAGTGTGAGTGTGTGAGAGAGAGAGACTGCTGAGTGTGTGAGAGAGAGACTGCTGAGTGTGAGAGAGAGACTGCTGAGTGTGAGTGTGAGTGTGAGAGACTGCTGAGTGTGTGAGAGAGAGACTGCTGAGTGTGTGAGAGAGAGAGACTGCTGAGTGTGTGAGAGAGAGAGACTGCTGAGTGTGAGAGAGAGACTGCTGAGTGTGAGTGTGTGAGAGACTGCTGAGTGTGTGTGAGAGAGAGACTGAGTGTGTGAGAGACTGCTGAGTGTGTGAGAGACTGCTGAGTGTGAGTGTTTGAGAGAGACTGCTGAGTGTTTGAGAGACTGCTGAGTGTGAGTGTGAGAGAGAGACTGAGTGTGAGAGACTGAGTGTGAGAGAGAGACTGCTGAGTGTGAGTGTGTGAGAGAGACTGCTGAGTGTGAGTGAGAGAGAGAGACTGCTGAGTGTGAGTGAGAGAGAGAGACTGCTGAGTGTGAGTGAGAGAGAGAGACTGCTGAGTGTGTGAGTGTGAGAGAGAGACTGCTGAGTGTGAGAGACTGCTGAGTGTGAGTGTGTGAGAGAGAGACTGCTGAGTGTGAGAGAGAGACTGCTGAGTGTGAGTGAGAGAGAGAGAGACTGCCGAGTGTGAGTGTGTGTGTGTGTGAGTGAGAGACAGACAGAGAGAGAGAGAGAGGAAGGGAGAGGAAGAGGGAGGGAGAGAATAAATGTCATAAATTAAAATATTGTAACTAAGAAGATCTGAAAATGTCACAGCAAGTGTTCTCAGAGAGCACTGTTTTAAGTGTGAATTTATATTAAACAACTGCACTCACTTCTTTATTTGTTTGAGGAGGGAGGCCAATCTGCATCCCACATGTGGAAGTCCGAGGACAACTTGCAGGCCTCTCCCTGCCTCCATCATGTGAGTCCCAGGAGGTCAAGCTCAGTCTGTGAGCCTCGGCAACAAGTCCGTTACCTACTGAGCCATCTCAGTGGCTCTGTGTCCACTTCTGCTGACATTGACTTTACCCTAAGTGTGTATCAAAGTTAATAATGATATTCTGAATTGCTAATATTTAACTAATCATTTAAACGAATATGCAAACATAAAGGCAAAATCCAAGACTGTTTCCAGCATGAGTGAGTCTCATACATTGAAACCAGGGATTTGATTTTAAGTGTCTGGTAGTAAATGCTAAAAAAGCCTCTTTAGAGATCCTTAAAAAGGAAAGCCAGGAGGCAGCATACCACTGGGGAAATAGTTTTCTTCTTGCCAAGATAAAAATGTCTAAAATAATACATTGAATACAAACGGGGGAAAAAACAACCCTGCATTCCTTTGTCAGCAAAGACCTCCAAAATATGCACAGAAACTTTTGCTAGACACAGAGTCACAGTGTACGGACAGCAGTGTGGGAAGTCGCAAGCCAAACGGAAAGCTGGTTTTAATATTTTCCATTTAGTGGTGTGTATAGTAGGTTCTGAGGCACTGTGGCTTTTACTAGATTGTGTTTCAATAATAAAATGTAATTTTTTGGTGTGATCTTAAAAGAAAGCTGTAGTAAAGATGGCAGATTTTCTTCCATACCCTCCAAAAATCACTTTTCAAAATTAAACTCTAAGTTTTATTCCATGTTTTTAAACTGTAAACATTGGTGGATTCATGGGAACTTTTGCCTGTTTGTTTTTTTGTCACTCTACCTAGGCTGACCTCAGACTCAAGGTTGACCATGTTCATTGCTGCTCTGTTCATAAGAGCCAGAAACTGAAAGCAACTGGACATCCCTCCATGGAAGGACATCACGCTCTCCTTCCTCCTTGTTGTGGGGTTCGACGGTGCTCCCGGAGCTGTGCTCCCTCCTTCCATTGTGAAGAGCTCTGCCGTCTGTCTGTCCTGCTGCAGGCGGATGTGCGGGTTATTTCTGACTTTCACGTGCTTCTAACAAGTTTGTCAGGCCCCTTTCTTTAAATATGTGAGACTGCTAAATCACCTGATTTCAAAAACTATTTTTATCCACTGCCTAGAGCATGGGAATTCTCCCTTTAGTCTTCAGATACTATGTTCTTTATGTAATTATATATCACGAACGTATGCCTGGTGCTACATTATGTGCGTTACAATACTGATTTATAATTTACAGCCCCAGAGAAGGGTCTGTTGCTATCTGATTTGCAAGAGAGGACAGACACATTAAGTGACTTACGTAAGCAGTGAGTGATGGGGCTGAGACTCAGACTTGGGTGAGCAGCCCGGAGCCTGGGTCCTTAACCACGATGCTAAGTGGATGCTTAGAAATACCTTCTTCGTTGTTTAAAGTTGTTGTCATTTGTTTCTGCTTTCTGTATATCAGTGCTTTGCCTGTTTGTATGTCTGTGTGTCACTTTTCTGCCTGGTGTCCACAGAGACCAGAAGAGGGCATGAATCTCTCGGAATTCAGTTACAGACACTTGTGAGCCACTCTGTGGGGGTTGAAAGCTGAACATCTTCTAGAGGGCAGCCAGTGTTCTTACCTGACTAGTCCTCTCTCATCCATTTCCTTTCGTTGTGTGTGTGTGTGTGTGTGTGTGTGTGAGTGTGTGTGTGTGTGTGTGTGTGTGAGAGAGAGAGAGAGAGAGAGAGAGAGAGAGAGAGAGACTGATGGCAGCACACACGATGTCCTCATACCTTCCAGCATTTTCCTAACTCCCTTAAACATTTTTTTCAAACAGAATTCAATGGACATTGGAGGTCTGAATGAAAAAAGCTAAAAATACAGGCCAGAGAAGAGGCTAGGCTGGGAAAGGAGCTTGCCGCCAAGCCTAGAGGCCTGAGTTTGATTCCCGGGACCCCCACAAGGGAAGGAGGGAACCAGCTCTTTCAAGTTGTCACTGCTTCCTCATGAACTTGAAACTTGTGCCCTCCCTAGCAAATAGTAAATAACAGAATAAAAGCGCAAACGCCCGGCACCTTCTGATTAGTTTGTTGGACACATAAGCAACTTTAGGCAAGATGGAAATATGTTTATCAAATGTCAGCCAAGCTTTTTGTGTACTAGCTGATGGAACTGAAAAATAAATGTCACATGTAGCAAGCCAGCTAATGAAGCAGCTCGTCCATTGAAGCCACACACCCCAGCGAACTCTCAGAGCACCTTCAAATAAACAAACAATGGGATGCTGGCATGGCTGCATTGTGGCATCAACCAAGAACTAAAGCCAATCAGACACCCTCAGTTGTTCTGCTTATGAGACTTACTGCATTCTATATTTATTAGAGTGTGTGTGTGTGTGTGTGTATGTGCGCGTGTGTGTGTACCATACGTATCTACTTCTGTTTCTGAGACAGGATTTCATATATCCCAGGCTGGCTTCACACTCACTATGTAGCTGAGGATGACCTTGAACCCTTGAACCCTCTGCCTCTACCTCCCAGATGTTGAGATTTTAGGCACGCACCACCATACCTAGCACGTATGGTATTGGGGATCAAACCCAGGGCTTGACACATGCTAAACAGCACTCTATCAACTGATCTGTGTCTGCATCACTGTGTTAATAAATGTTTCATTCAAATAATCATTTACGATGATCTCATCTATTGAAGCTTTTCTCTTTCAGGATGTTTTATCGTGTTCATAATGTCCTACAGCAATGTAAGAGTGTGATTTATAAGCTCTCAGGAGGTTGTCTAAAATTCCCTTCTCAGTGGAGTGTTCAGCTGCTGCCTGAATTCAGCCCTGCTCTAGAGGCAAGCTCAAAAGACTCCCTGAAGCCGCGCCTTCCTGGAAGCTGAACAGAGGCCTGGGGCTGGCTTTAAGAAGAAAGAAGCTGAGAAACTGGAAGAAAAGGGAGGGGGCTAACACAGATAAACCCCAGGGCATCTTGCCTGGAATTTCAGGCCTTGTGGGAGGACTGTATTCATATTGTTTTAACTAATTTAATGAGAGATAACATTTGTCAATTTACACACAAAAGCATGAGATTAGCCACCCAACCAATAAGAGCTTGCAAGTAGTTCATTGGGAACAGTAAATTCTTTTATCAAGGTCAGACATCTGCCTTGAAAACCTTTGTCTGGGCCTAAGGAGGGAGACTTAACTCATTTCATCCCTTGAGTGGTCTTCCAGTGGACACCTACAGCTTCATTTTGTTTCTGCATTGTGGGTTTCTTCCGAAAGGCAAGATTTACACTTTTAACTATGTTGTTTGTAGAAGCCACAGGAGAATACAGGTTCTTGTCACAAGCACACCCAGTTACCCTGACCCCCTTCAGAAAAGATCTAGCAGAGTTGTGATCCTCTTTCTTTGAAAAACACAACTAGCCACTGTGTTAAATGTTGATAGGTAATGGACATTTAAAGAACTGTTCTATTTTAGTTAAGTATTATATAAGTTATAGAACATATGTTCCTTCAAATTAGGACGCCTAGCATTTTTCAAAGTGTTGAACTTCAAAGAACCCCAGTTGTGTGGCCTTTAAGATACCAGCGCTATTATTCAGCCATTGAAGAGCTGGAAACCCTTCCCACTATAAAATGTACTTCCAGTGATGTAAGTGTGGTTATCAGGCCCCAGTGATGGGGTCCATTTATTAATAATATTTTTGTGAAGTTTTTAACTTGTACTCATGAAGAAACATGAGGTGTTATCTTTATAAAACATTGCCGTTAGCCCTTTTTTTGATAACTGTAATGCACTACGAATAGATGTTTTTGCCCTTGCTGCACTCTGGCTGTTACTGTGATGGCAGCAGCCATTGTGCCATGTCCAGTGGCGGGCTCTGTGGGCGCTCGCTGCAGTTCTGGCTGGCTTTGCCTTTAGCTTGCTGTTAAGGGAACTCTAATCTCCACCATGCCAGGTCCCTGGTTCACCTGACCCCTCTGCCCTGGCACAACACTTCTGAACCTGTAATCCTATACTGAAGTTCACAGTGACTAGGAATTGAAACACTTTTCTGAGTCCCCAGCTGATGCTATTAAATATTAAGTTGGCAAAGGCATTTCAGTTTTTTTATTTATCTTAGCAAGGCTTGATAGTGGATCAGGAGTTCAAGGACAGTCTTGGCTACATAGTGAAACCAAGGGCCAGACTGGCTACAAGAGAGCCTGTGTCCAAAAAGAAGAAGAAAGTAAAGGCAAAACAAAATAAACAGAGAACCCCCGGTGGTGTATCTTAATGACCTGTGTTTGCTTCATCGTCATCCTCTTTATGATCTGATGGGGGAAGTCCTGTGTGTATGTCAATAAAGCACTGTTGGCCAATAGGGAAGTAAGATAGGTGGGACTAGGAGTCCAGGAGGACTCTGGGTAGGAGAAACACAGAGAGTCAAGATGTAACTGCCATAGGGATAAGAAACCCAGAATGTTCTCCAGTAAGAGAAATACTTAGATTAACAATTATGGGGTAAATACTTAAGTCAGAGCTAGCCAGTAAGAAACAAGCAAGGCCAACAGCTTCATAATTAATATAGCCTCATGTATGTTCATTTGGGACTGATGCGGCTCTGGAACCAGGCTGGCAGGAAGGCTTCCCTTTACAATGATCCCCTCAGGCATGCTCTCACGTTCTCACTAACACTGCCTTCTTTTCCTCCTCAAAGAGCCATTAGGGTTTTAAACAGTGGGGGTGGAGAGACGGCTCAGTGGGAAGCCCTGGCTGCTACCAGACAACCCAGGTTCAAGTCCCAGGACCCACATGGCCCACTGCCTGCATGGCATCCAGCAGCTGTCTGTGGCTCCCAGTTGGGGGGGCGGAGGCTGACCTCTTCTGGCCTCCAGGGGCACTGCGTGCACAAGAGGTGTAGACATACATGCAAACAAAACACCCACACACATAAAATAAAAATAAGATTGAAAGAATGTTAGTAAATAAATGCTAGCTTTAAATATTAATATTGCTTTCTGGAGTGATCTTTTATTGATATTCACTCATCATTTTTTTCCTTTCTCCAGATAGACGTTTCTTTCTCTAAGGTGGCCAGATCCAGAGCCCTTCCTCAACAGGAAACATGCCAGGTCCCACAGGGCTTCTTCTGTTTCTGTAGGGAAGGGCTTCTTAGAGGTTCTCCTTCAACATCCTTGGGCTACATAAGTTCCTGCCTGTTTCAGGGCCAGGTTTCAGTCTGTGTTGAAAGATAACAGACCTTTCTCTGTGAAGTGGTAAATATGGATAACCAAAGAAGGTGCTTCTAGACTGATCCCATTAGAAAGCAGAGATGTTGGAACTTTTCCTTGGAAGCATCTCCACCCGGATACGCGAATCAATTCTTCAACACTCCACTCCTGAACTTCTACCCAGGCTGCCCCAGAAGCACAGTCGAAGTCTTCCTGAGTGTTTGTGTTTGGGTCACAGAACATACTCACTGACTTACTGTAGAAGTGGGGGCTGGAGAGATGGCTTCTCTTGGGGAGGACGCAGGCTCAGTTTCCAGCACCTACAAGGTGACTCACAACCACCTGTAACTCCAAGGATGCAGGGGACCTGAAGACTTCTTCTGGCCTCTGTGGGTACCAAGCATACAAGTGATGCACATACCTACTCATAGGCAAACAATCATACACATCAAATGAAAACAAGTATTTTCCTGGAAAAGTGATGAACACTTTTAATCTCAGCATGACGGAGGCAGAGGAAAGTGGATCCCTGTGAATTCTAGGCCAGTCTCATCACACAGGGCAGCCAGACCTACATATTAAAGTCCTATCTCATACAAACAGACAGCTAAATAAAATAAGCATTAGATCATCAACAGGTACGTTTAAAGATGTTGTGTTGCTATGAGTTATCTTTCATCTACTTTGGTTTGTGATTATGAAATCTGGCAAATTGTAAGGAGATCTCTTGAATTCTGAGGGGCCAGAAACCCTTTTGCATCAGCTGAATCTAGCAAGAAATGGTATTTTTGTTGACCTGGATAACTATTTGTGGGGGAACTGCATCAAAATAATCATCAGTAGTTGCTATTAGAGTATTTGTCATGTTGGGAGAGACATGTCTTCCAGATGATTGATTATACCTCACTTTAGAGTTGCAGAAAAGTCTGTGCTGAGAAGTAAGACACGCAGAAATGTACAACCCTGCTACAACACAAGAGAAACAAATTGTGACAAAATGCAAGCAAACAGCTCTGGTCTTGTTTTGTTTTGTCTTTTAAAGCAGAGTTTGCTTTTCTCCCTGGTGTGTCACTCTCCGTAGCTTTAGGACAGTGTGGCTGTCCCTCTCCACACATCAGCTAGAAAGTGTTTAGAGCAGTGGTCCTCAACCCTCCTAATGCTGCGACCCTTTGATACAGTTCCTCATGTGGTGACCCCAACAGTAAAATTATTTCATTGCTGCTTCATAACTGTAGTTTTGCTACTGTTATGAATCATAACGTAAATGTCTGACAAGCAGGATATCTGCTATGTGACCCCAAAGGGGTCTTGACCCACAGGCTGAGAACTGGTTTAGAGCGACTGCATGGCAGACTCTGGGGTTAGGAGGCATATCCAGGCCAGGCTTTAATGTGCTATGCTCTTTCATATTATACTCTTTCATATTATGCTGATTACAATATTCTGCTAACAACCCCTTTCATGGCCTCCAGGATTTTTACTGAAGAAAGTTAAATTGATTTAAATGAAATTGCCATTTTAAGCAGTCAGACTAGAGATGTCATGGGGAGAGGCTAGCTGGGCTGACAGCACGGTGGTAGAGTTGCTGATTGCTGTGTTATCCTGGACTCATTCAAAACCAAAAGCACGACTATGGAGGATCATTCTCTGTATGGACATCTAAGTCAACACACTCAGACACTTGATACCTTGGATGAGCAGCCTCCAGCCATCTGTATTCATTACACCCATACCACTGGCTCATATTCTCACAAGATGTCTGAATTCTGGGTCTTTCTTTCTTCCCCATCTTAGCTAGCCTTTTGCTTTTATTTCCTCCTCTATGTACCATTTGTCACATCCTCATAGGCTTTCCTTATGTTATGTCCTTCTACCCCTCCCTCCCATCCTAATTTAAAACTGGATCCATGCAGGTATCTGACTTTTCGTATCTGGATTATGAAGCATCATTGTATGTCTTAGTTACTTTTCTATTGCTGTGATAAGATCTCATGACCAAAGCAACTTATAAAAAAAGGTTTTTGGGGGTTTGCTTAAAGTTCCAGATGGTTGGAGTCCATGACCATCACAGCAGGAAGCATGGCAGGCAGATAGACATAGCATTCGGGCAGTAGCTGAGACTTCCCATCTGATCCAAAAAGAAGGGGGAGAAAGAGCGAGAGACTCGGAATGACCTAGGCTTTTGAAAACTCAAAGCCCACCTCCTCCAATAAGGCCACACCTCCTAATCCCTCCTAAATAGTTCTAACAACTGGGGACCAAGCATTCAAACATATGAGCCTATGGGAACCATCCTCATTCAAACACCGCAGTGTACAAAGTCACAATGTGTGTGCATTGATGGTCCCTAACTTCAGTGTGATGTAGTATTAATCTGGTAATCAAAGGTAAGCTTTAGCTCTTAGATGGGGTACAGACTTTCTCCTTTTTCCGTCTTTAACTTTGACTCTTCTTTATCTATTC